ACACACACTGGCTGCTGATGGTCAAGACAAAACAGTTTGCGTTTCTCAGAGTGCAGAAAGCAGAGAACCCCTGAAGCTCTCTGATCTCTCTCCAGTAAGAAGGCCTCACACAGGTTCTTTAATGCCAGGTTACGAGGTGGTTCTGCCCTCGCAGATCTTCTTTTACACACCGGACACTCACGTGTTTGTTTCTCTCTCCACCACCTCTTCAGACAGTTTTTACAGAAGCTGTGGCTACACGAGACAAGAACAGGATCTCTAAATATATCATAACAGACCGGACAGCAGAGATCCTCCTCTGATCTGGAAGCCATTTTGTCTCTGAGTGAAGCTGAAAACACAACATAAGGAAAGTACAGTCAGTTCTGGCCAGTATTTGGTAGTAAGGCATAACTAGTACTGATATTTCAGTAATAATATTGTTTTCTCCAGTAACACGTAGTGTAACTAATTTCTAATAGAATTTCAGTAATAATATTACAATTACCCCCTGAAACCTGAACTATTTACAACCTTTAGTTTGTTGTCACCCCCTATTGATTTGAAATCCAACAATCCAATTTGAGTGTCATTGTCACAAAGCAGAAAGCTAGCTTGGTAGATGAAACGCTTACATTCAGTGGCTGGAAGTATTCCCATTACTTTAATTTCAACATACAGAACTGAATTTTAATCATGGACAGCAGGCTACAGAGTGGATATGTGCTGGATGAAACGTTCTACTCTCCTTGGGAAAATACCCCCGGTAAAAAACTATTTTCATGGCAGACTACAGTAACACTAACAATTAATAACCCAGACTTTTATTTGCTTCAATCACTTAACTCTGTCTGTTTTTATTTGGGACAGGCCTTGAATTACTTTCGCACAACAAAATGTACTGAGAAAGGATGGGAAGTACTTTCAAATTGTTTATTTAAACAACTATAAATATTACTTGTATAAAAATTATTAAGAATCATTTGTTTGATTGAATTTGCAGAATCTAACCAATCTAATCAAAAAACGATATGTGTGTTGACAAACATTCATATTTGCATGCATGATCTAAGCAGCAAGTGTGAGACCTGGTGGGTTTTAATAGGTTTTATACATCCAAAGAACTTCTAAAAAAACCAGACCCTGTGTGTAATTGAGATCTGCATTTATTTGTCAGAACCTGTAGCCACACCACACTAGTGAACGGGACCTGCGCCTAACTGGGACTCTGCTTTTCACTGAATACCAGAAGTTCTTGGATTGAGTGTCATCAGTTTGAGGTGTGCTTTCAATGTAGCTTTTATTTTTTTTGGATACAGTGGCTGCAGAATAAAACTGCTAGATTGAAGCCTTAGCTATACTTACTGGGCAATTACCCTGACATTCACACAGAGGCACACATGAAGTCTGAATTTTGGGGAGAAAGGAGGCAATTACCAGTTTAGCTGAAAAGTAATACAAAGTGTACATTACCTTTGAAAAGAGTATTGAATAATAAATTACATTTCTTGAGTATCAAGCCTTACACTGCTCATGGCTCCCCTCCCCGTCTACTGACTTCAATAAAATTTACTTTCGCTTTCATAGTTATTTTTAGTCAAACTCACATTCACTGTGTGGAGCATCTGCAGGTTGAAGCAGCAGTGTTGTAGTTATCCACTTTTCTCTCATGTAGCTGAACTCACTCAGAGGAAGTTGTCAGTTTGGTCTGAAGGTGAATCTGATCATTTGTTTTTCAGTCTGTGCGTCTCTCTTTAGTGAGGAAGAATAACAACCTGTTTCCTGGTTTGTCTCGGTTGGTTTAGGTGAGAGGAGGAGCTTTGTCTTCCCTGCTGAATCATAGACATATATATACATAGACACAACATTGGCCGCCTGTTCAACCCTAAATGAAAGCAAAACTTGCTGACACTGAGGACCTGCAGCCTGTATATAACATTATGATTATTATAAATATTTTTTCCAACATGTAAGTAATTTGATTCATGTAAGCCTACATGTACCCCTCTCTTGATCGTCTCACTGCTTTTATAGCCTATTAACTATAGATATTCTAAGTAACTAGTGACAACCAAAAAAACAATAACCTTTAAATATAAAAATGACTCAATTAAATTGGTTGAGAAATGTAAACATTATAGTGCTTTCTAACCAGAAAAGCCGCAGCTCCCCTTGTTTACCTGTCAGTCTTGCCCAGTCCAATATGCCAACGATGTTGACGTATGTCAGCAACAGACTGAAGCAGCTAATGCAACATCTATGTGCTTTACATATAACACAGGGGTGTGTTTGTGGCTTAAAATGTACACAGCACATTGATATTGTGCAACTGGCTGTTACAACATTTATGTTTATGTTTAAAAGTAGTTTGAATGTGGTGCAGGAGTTAAAACATGACTAATAAAACAGGAGTTAATGTACAATCAGCATTAAGTTTAATGTTAATTTATGTTCTGAAATCATCAACATTACATACAGTCTGAACCCAAACTGAGACGTCCACCTTAAACATGAGACGTCCACCTTAAATAGAACGATTAAATTACTAACAGCAGAATTCAACTTACAGACAGAATCATCTCAGCTTCATTACATTAAACAGAAAAATGTTCATGTAATTTGATTTCGAAATGTACATTTTACATATTTTAAACATTTCATGACCATTCATTTTAATGTTTGGAAACTTTATGATCTGGAATAAAGGTTGTTGGAGCTAAACAATGACTGGCAGTTCAACAGTTATTGATACATTTATTATTTTATCTTCATTTTAATCTCATCTGCTTCCATAAAGTGGTTTCTAGTGTTCACAGCTCCACAAACCAGTGTGACAAATAATTTTACATGAAAAGGTCGACAATAGAGCCAAAATGCAAATTGTCAAGGTACATAAAACGAAAACGAAAATAAACACAATAACTGAAACAAAAGTAAACATATCTTTGTAGTAATAAACAACAGGAGAAGCAGGTTAAATTTACTTTACCTTTAAGAAATAAACAATAGGAATATAATCATCTTCTTCATCAGCTCTGTTCTACTGTCAGACTGAAATTCACTGTTAATATCTTCACTTCATCCCAAGTGGTAATGAACGGAAACATCCTCTCAGTGAAAATGTGTATGTGTGTGTTAGTATCAGGATCAGAGAACAACAGCTTTCCTCTGTTCCAGTCCAGATTCACTCTGATCCTCTGGAGCTTCTTCTGCACATGGAGATTTGTGGATGGAGCTGGTAGTGACGTAATATTTATCTTTATAGAAACCTATTACCCATAATCCAGACAGTTTGTCTCA